TGTAAGTTTTTCATCGCTGCTACCGACTGCTTCACTAAGTAGGTTGAAGCCGAGCCGTTGGCAACCACAAAGGAGAAAGATGTAAAAAAATTCGTTTGGCAGAATGTCATCACTCGCTTCGGTATCCTGAAGGCCCTCATTTCGGATAATGGCACTCAGTTTGATGGGAAACTCTTTTGCCGGTTTTGTGAAGAGTTAAAGATTGAGTTTTACAACTCAACACCAGCCTACCCTCAGTCAAATGGTTAAGCAGAAGCTTCAAATAAGACCATCCTGGACGGGCTAAAAAAGCGACTGGAGAAAGCCAAAGGGAAGTGGGCTGAAGAACTCCCCAATATGCTCTGGGCATACCGCACCACGCCGAGACGCTCGACCGGGGAACTTCATTTGCCTTGGCCTATGGCATGGAGACTGTCATCCTGTTGGAAATCGGTATGCCAACCATCCGATCTGAAAGTTTTCAGCCAGACTTGAACAATGAAGCTGTGGCCCTGGAACTTGACCTAGCTGAAGAAAGAAGGGAACGGGCCCTAATCCACATAGCAACCTACTAGCAAGAGCTCTCCAGAAAATACAACAAGGTGTTGCATCCTAGGCTATTCAGGATCGGGGACTGGGTCTTAAAGAAGGTAATGGGCAACACAGTGATCCCCGGCGAAGGCAAACTAAGAGCAAATTGGGAGGGGCCAGACAAGATAACTTGCCTTGCAGGCATAGGCGCTTACCATCTGGAAGACTTAGATGGTAAAGCTGTCCCCAGACCGTAGAATACAGCTAATCTTAAGTTATTTTACTTTTGAAATGTAACCTTTTCTATTCCTTCTTTGCCTTTGGAAACTTGGCCTTTTGGCATTTGATGTGAATCAATGACATGTAATGAAAGATAGCCCTACCTTTTTCCCTACCTTTTTCTTATACTATGTGTTTCTGTACAAAGACGTTATAAGAATACTGAGCTACTATGAATACCAGGGGCAAGAAGCCAACAATGGTTGCACTGAGGCCATACAGGCAGTTGGCGTTTTGCCCAACTAGGGCTGGGGCCGAGCAGATATTGTCCGTCCATGCAGAAAGTGGCGTTTTGCCCGACTTGCACTAAGGCCGAGCTAACATTGCTCGCCCGTACAAATAGTTGGTGTTTTGCCCAACTGGAACAAGGGCCAAGCAGATATTGCCCACCCGTGCAGAAATTGGAGTTTTACCCAACTTCTATTAGGGCCGAGCTGACATTGCTCGCCCGTAAGAACAGTTGGTGTTTTACCCAGCTTGCATTAGGGCTGAGCTGATTTTGCTTGCCAGTACAAACAGTTTGTGCTTTTCCTAAACTATTCCACGGCCGAGCTGATAAAGCTCGGCCGTGCGGTCAGTTTTGCCAAATTACACGTGAAGCCGGCCAATTTTGCTCGAATCGTGAGGCTGATTGGCCATTATTGCCCAAGCTATAAATTTGGCTCGTCGTGAATCGAGCTGTTACTTGCTCAAAAATGTGGAACTGATCTTGTTCTCCTATTTAAGATGTTGATGTTACATCCAACAAATATTTCAAAGCCATGAAAGTTTGCTCATTAAACTGAAGAAATGACAACCACACAAGGCAAATGAAGAAAAATATTCGCATTACACGGTGAGCAGAAAGTTAAACTTTTCACTGATTGTAAGGAGAGAGTACAAAAGTGGGGCGAAGCCCAGTTACATCAAAACCCAAAAATATATATATATATATATATATAGAAGAGGGAGATCAATCTAAATCTACAGTGTCAGCCTGTTCGGTCGCCTCCCTCTCGGCGTCACTGACTTAAGCACTGACCACCGCATCAACCTCCTGCTCGGTCTCTCGATCTTGGGCCCCTTCCTTGGAAGCTTCAGATGAAAGATTTTTCTCGGCCAGCTACGCGGTGGTAACTTCTGCTTCAGCTACTTACTTCGCCTCTTCAATTAGCCTCTTCGGCCTTCAGTTTTGCCAGCTCGACTGTCTTGGCCTTGTTGTCAACAATGGCCTCCCTCAGACTTTTTCGCACGATGATCATTTACTCGTGGGCCATGTAATTCTTCTACGTGGCCTGCAAAGAAAACAAAAATGTTAGAACGCCATAACCGAGCAACAACTTGACGTTAGGAGAGCTTGCAAACTTACCAACATTATTGACTTTGCTGTCGAGCAAAGGACCTTTAGGTCAGACAGCTCCTCGTGTTTCTTCATGTTGGCAGGGAGGAACAACCCTTTGGTCATATTGAAGCCGAGAGAGTAGTCCTTGTCAGCGTAGACTGACTCGGCAGTGAAGACGGCTCGACCTTTATGTGTCACCTCGGGCGACCAGACTAGGGGGCACTGGACCGAGTGAATGGTTCATTGATCGATTGTTCAGTCTAGTCCCCCAAGTCGGTAGAAGCATGCTCGGTGGAATCTTCGTCTGCCAAATGTTGTTCGGCAGGATTTCTTCTCGGCCTTTTCTTCGACTGACCTGCAACTTGTTCGCTGGCGAGAGCCAGCACAGCCCCCTTCTCTTGTACAGCTGGCATGGAAAAAGTTCCCCTAGTTGCCTCCGGTGGCTGAGAATCGCTCGACTCACCGGTGATCATTGATTTTATAGCCTGGATTTTGGCCATCCCTTGTTCGACTGTCAAAGGAACCAATTTGATTGGAAGAAGGTTGGGATCTGGTTCTGGAGAAGGTGCTCGAAGGAAGTCTGTCACCCTGCTCCTGTGCGGTGCCGTGTATCGGTAGCTCGGTTCGAAGCCAAGCAGCTTGTGGAATTCTCGCTCCTTGGCTGGGTGCCGCAACACAACCCTCATGGCCTCTTGGTTTGCACGGGAGTAATCCTCTGCCAAGAATTTATGATCTGCAACAGGAAGGCAAGTATTAGATCGGCAGTGAAAAGACCAATTTCAAAAAAAAAAAAAATACATGCCAAGATGCTCACCAGTACTCCTAAAATCTTTCCTATGTACCAGCCCGGTATGGGTGCTTCCGTGTCCTAATAATTACCGGACACCCACAAGAAATCATCATCGTTGGTCTCTTTGTCCGGGTTACCCTCGATGGGTTTTGCTCGGCCTTTCCTGACCTTGAGATACCAGCAAAACCCTACTTTATTTTTTCTTAGTGTATATTGATGAAATATCTCGGCGAGGCCGAGATTCAGACCGAGTATCCTATTCAGCACGGCCATGTCGTTTATTATTTTGTATGTATTGTTGGAGACTTGGGTCGGGCACAACTTACTCTACCTCAAAATCTTGCAAATCAGGGGTTGGACCGAGAAACGCAGGCCTCCTTCCACAATGGACACCACCGTGAAGGGGGCATTTGTCCAGCTCGCCCCAGGGAGTGTCTCCTTTCTTGGCCAGCTCCAAATGGACATCGTCCGGGATATGGTACTCTCTACGGAACTCGGCCAACGCCCCAGGAGAATTGACCATGAACCGGTACTTCCCCATCTATCCCAGTTTTATTCAGTTGGGTAATTTTGGTTGTATCTTGGTAAAAATTTGGTGATTGTTTGCTCGGACTTTGAGCCTCACCGATTGTAATGCTGAATGGGCCTGGTCGGTCCTAGTTTGTTCTGCATTATTAAGAAATAAGCCCAAGTATTACAGCGGCATAAATTGCACGGTTATTATGAAGAAGTTTCTAGCTCGGTAAACGGTCCTGGGGCGTTTGACCAGTTCGATTATCCTATTTCGGTTCAACTATCTGGCCGATTTGGCCTTCCTAGATCGGTTCTAGCTCCTTATTTTTAGCTCTGTCTTAGCCTCAGGAAGAGACTACAAACCAATTTTTGCTCGGCTAACATCTTGTTTACGAATCTAAAAGTTGGATTCTGCTCGGTCTTACCCAGGGTTCATGCTATTCATCCTAAATGTGAAGTTTGTGCATTGAAACTAAGGGAAACGAGGGGCACGGAGGCCCCATCCGCTTCTTCAATTCCAGTTTTCCCTAATGTGTACCAGTTTTACCCCAAATAGGGGGGGGCACGAGTAGGATACCAACAGTCCTAGATAAGAACTTGAAGAACAAAAATGGAGAGTGCAAAGGAAGGGCAGATAAGCTTACTAATATGGACGCCAAGCGAAGACCAATCGACCACGACCTTGTCTGCAGCCTTTGTGAGGGCGAAGATGGCTGAAAACAACTCAAAGAGCAGCGGTGGCAGAAGATTGGCGATTTAAGGGCTAGGGTTTGGCTTAAATGGAAGATGAACAGTAGAGGCGTGTGTGGCCCCTCACGTGTGTATAAAAAGGGGGGGGGGGGGGAGAGCAAAAGGGGGGGTATATATGAGGAGTTTGAAAACGCTGATACAAAAAGCGATTTCATTTAAATGAAATCGCTATTACAAATAGCGTTTTTTGGCAAAAAAAATTTGTACTGAAATCGCTATTAGAGATAGCGTTTTTTCCGGGGAAAATTTTTTCTTAAAATCGCTATTACGAATAGCGTTTTTATTTTAAAAAAAGCGCTGTTAGGAAAAGCGTTTTTAACAAACCCTAGAAGCGCTATTTGTAATAGCGACTTATTAATCAAAGTCGCTATTTGTAAACGCGATTTTACTGTTCACCTACTTTTACGCTCCTAACAGTGAAAGCGCGAATAGTAATAGCGTTTTAACCTAGTTTTGGAATTCCGTCAGAAGTTGGCCTAGTTTTGGAAATACGATACAAAAATGGCTTATATTGGGAAATGGCCCCACCACAACCACCACCACACTACTGCTACTACCATCACCACCTCGACCAACCTGCCATCTCCACCTCCATCTCCACTGATGTTAATTTCAAAGTCAACCAAATATAGAAAAACGTTTTCTACAAAAATATTTTTTGAAAAAAGATTTCTGTAAAAAATGTTCTTCAGAAACAAACTCAGTGTAGGAATAGTTTTCCGTAGTCAAAAAATCACCATATAATGGGTTGCCTAAAAACATCATCAGCTAAAAAACAAAGCTGACCTGAATGAAGCATAGATTCATAATTCAGCAACAAGCACAGAACAACAAGCATATCCCAGGATAATAACAAAATTTCTCCAAGTAAAGGATACTAAAAATTCAGTCAAAGCCATAAAGTCTCAAAAAACAGCTATTAACTTATGGCTACATGAACAGCTCATATAAGTTACACCAAACAACTATTCATTGTGACAATGTCTTCAAACCATTGACCACCGAAGGACCTTTATTATTGTTTACGATTAAAAACAGAAACGAAAAACAAGAAAAACAAAAATGACACAGAAACTATGTACAGCGCCTTAGGCATGGTTAAACTGCTGTCCAGCTGATGGAAGCTAATTGAGGTTTGAAATGTCACCCACTGTTGAGGAGTCTGGTTGAGGTTATTTTCTGACTTCCGAGCTGCTGTTTAGATTGAAGTTCCTTAGGGTTGTGTTCTAGGTTTCGAAGTACAATTCTTGCAAAAATTTTGGCTTCAATTGGTGCTGCTGCTGCTGCAGATGCAACACGCAGGATCCGTGGCGCTCCAGAGTTCTGCAAAAGCGTCACATGGTGTGATGTGTGCCGGCCACCCGGAATCGTGAACTACAATTCAAAAACACATTTGTAGAGGGATACATTGTGATTAGTAAAGTTAATCCAATTTCATCACCATGTCAAAAAGAGGAAAAAAATAGCCAAGGTCTAAGAAGCATGGACGTGCTGACAATTTAATTTTTTTAAAAAAATATCAGGATACGACGTGGCGACCTGCACAAAATATATGATTTTGAAGGAGGGACTAATAGGTATAACACTATATTAAATTTTTTTTAACACTGTTTTCTCTTAATCAGTTCAAACTTCTAATATGCGATGAACTAAGAAGCACGGACACTTCTAAGAAGGTGACATATATGTGTCGTGTCTGTGTCGGACACCGACACTCTTTGGACACTCTAAGGACACGTGTCCGACACTCTTCAAAACGTGTCCTATTTTTTAAATTTTTTTAAAGATCCGGACACTTTTTAGACACTCGGAGGATACACGTGTCTATCGATTAAACACATGTGAAACTAATTATAAGTTTGAACAAAACAACTTCAAACACAATAATAAAACAAAAACCATATAAATTTATAGAAATTAGTGTCATATTACATTTTTTATTATCTATGAATGATATATTCATATATATAAATATATAAAATCGTATATTTCATGCATGTTCCCCACTTGTCGTGTCCTGCATTTTTTGAAAATTAACGTGTTGACGTATCCATATCGTGTCATGTGTCCGCATCCATGTTCATGCTTCTTAGGCGATGAACATGGGTGTCTTTAAGTGTCCTCTAAGAAAATAAATAATAATATGATACAAATTTGAATGTGTGTTTGATAGATGTTGAGAAGTGTCCATTGAGTGCGGGTCTTGGACATGGACACGCACCTTCTTAGAAGTGTCTATACTTCTTAGGCCAGGTTCATTTCTACATTAGAGAGAGAGAGAGAGATGATCTACCTGGAGAAGTGCAAATACAGCACATTCCTTGAGTATGGAAGACGGATTTCTTAGCATGGCAACAAACCTTCCAATCTCAGCTTGACTGAGAAAAATAAAAATGATAACAAAAGTTGAAGTTAGAAAATTCAAGAACTAGAGAGGAAATATGCAAGCTTACAGACAAATATGGCAAATTTAATTAAAGCAAATATGCCATCTTCTTCAGCTGTAATTATGACATCCCGAAACAAACTAGAAATTCCAATTAAATTCTAAAAGCAAAACAACGCATTTTTAGAGTGGAATTTCATAAAAAAGTATTTTCGTGACCAAATATGATGCAGTAGTGGAGACCTAAATAGAACTAGAACATGAGAGAAAACAAGGTAATAGGAACTTAATAATAAAAATATTACTTATTTTTGGTCCAACCTTCGCAAACAAAACCAAACCAAACTATGCTCTATGTCCCAATCAAGTGGGGTCAACAAAATGAATCTTTTTAGCCATTCTACCATGTCAAAGATTATATGCTCATTTAAATTAAATAAATTTATATCACTCTGTGTACTATTATGGACAATCGGTCTTTATTATTCATGACCAAACAATTGTAGTTTGTTCTCTCAAATTATTTTCAACTGAACTACTCTTACCATTTCACAAATGTATTTATTGTTGGAGATAAGATTATATTGTCAAAGATATCAGAAGATATGAAATATATTAGAATATATGGAGATCCCATGATTTGTGTTTATTATGATTTAAATCTTTGATTTATTTCAATTCCTTAACTGAAGGGATTTGATTGTATCTCCCATTATATATATATGGTGTATGATGTAAACAAGAGTATAAAGTTGTGTGAATGAAAGATGTAGCATCCTAGGGCTTTTTGTGTGTGTGGATGTGGGCCAATATTGGCCGAACCACGTTATTTTAATTCTATCTTTCTTAGATACTCAACATTTTGTCTTGTACAACATAGATGCCATTATAGTTGTTCAAGGTCATTTTTTAAATTTTATTGTTATTCGTCAATCATATAATATGTGAGAAATATATTTCCACTTGAGCTAACCTCCTTTCATTTTATGGGTCACATCATCTCAAACTTTTCAATTCTTATGAATAGTGGAACTTGGATAATAAAATTGTTCACTCTTTAGTTTCTCCTGGTTTGCAATCTTTACTTGTCCACTATTTCTGCTTCTATTGTTATTAAAGTTATATTCTATATATCTAGCTTCAGTCTCACTTATTTTAAACCCTTTTAACTGAAGTGCTTCTCTCAAAATTTTTAATTTAGTATTAATATCTCTTTTAGCTTCTTGCACCACAACAATATCATCTGTGAATAGCACACCCCATGGGACATTATCTTGAATGTGTCTAATTAATTTATCCATAACTAACGTAAATAGATAAAGTCTCAAAGCTGACCCTTGGTGTAATCGATGATCAGAAACTCACTTTTGTATTTTGCAAGTGATCTAATTGTAGTCACATGCCCATCACATGTGTTCTTTATTGCATAAATATACCCATTTGTTTCTCCAATTTTTTCTTACATCCACCATATTGTCATAAGCGTTTTCTAAATCTATAAAAATCTTATGAACATCTCTCCTCTTTTCTTTGTATTTTCCTATTAATCTCCTTAATAAATATATCACTTCTGTATTGGATTGATGGAGCATAAATCCGAACTAATTCTTTGACAATGTTGTTGTCACTCTTAAGCGATGCTCAATCACTCACTCCCACAATTTCTTTGCATGAATCATCAATGAATACCTCTAGATGTCTTTTATTTTTATAAATAGGTACTAAATACTTTTTCTCCACTGGTCAAATATTTTTCTCGTTATTAGAATCTTATTGAATAATTTTGTTAACCAAGACACTTTTGGATTAAGAAGAGTGCCTTTGAACCTGCAGATCAATCATAATAAACAATACAAGAAAAGGAATGGATTTTCCTGCCTTCTCCCCACCTAAGACTTTAAAAATGTAAATGTCTTGTATAAGTTCTCCTGTCTATGCTAAGGTTGAACATGAAGAGAGAAATGTAAGGAGAACTATTTGGAAGGTTCAGGTTTCCCGCAGTCCGAACCTAAGTCACCGATTTGTTGAGCGGGAGCGAAGCTGGAGTCGGAGCGGGAGCACAAGAGCGAGAGCGTTTTCTACAAAAATACCTTCAAAGCGGGAGCAGCTGCAGAGTGTATATATGTACTTCTTTGTAGTGCATGTGTATAAATGTTTCAAATAATTCTTAGACAATCCCACATCATGTGACTTATTCAGTTCCAATTTCCACATCGAATGAAGGAGGAAAACATCAAGTCTTCTCTTTGGATGTAATGCCTCACACGATTGTGTGTATTACCAAGGCATTTACATGGCAGTGGTTAAGTCACGTAAGACCTTGTTTCATGTGCCTCTGTTTTATGTGGCATGCATCAACAGTAAATTTTGTTTTTTTGGCACAGCATGGTTAGTTCCATTCGGATTTGGCCCAAACTTGTGCAAAATTAGTGGGTCTGCGTTTTAATGCGCAGTCTGCCTGGCTGGTCACTCAAGTTAGGTGATTCAGGTTCGAACCGGGGCCTGCATTAGGTTAGGGAGTTGGGCGATAATAGCTCCTCTGCATCCCATATCATGCTGCTCTCCCACAAAACGCTAAGGATCCACAACACAAAACACTAACAGTGGATAATCATATTTCTTAGAGGTACTTAATACAACTCTTTGAATGAGCAAAATGAATTCTGCAGTTATAATAAAGATCTCTGCATGTCTGAAAAGGTATTTTTTATTTTTATTTTGTAGTGACAACTATATCCGAGGCTCACCCAAAAGGTGGGTCCAAATTACATACACTATCATATTCTTCTACAACACGTCTATTATATATATATATATATTCTCTATAGTTATATTCTTTTCATATATTGAAGAGTAAGACGATTGAATGCTTGGGAAAATATGATGTTAAACTTTTTATTATTTTATTTTTCTATTGGTTCACGAATGGATGTGTTCATCCTATAGGCAATGCTTCTTTTATATGTTGGTTCACATCTAAAAATTGTCTTCTATGTGTCTAAACTTATGAATATAGTTATTGGCATGCCCCTGAAGTTTTAGCATTAAGTGCAAGCATAGCTTCTCTATTAAGGTATCTGTGCTGCTCTGGTTACAAATTTTTGGTGATTCATATTATCAGATTTTGGATATAGCTTCTCTATGAAAGGGTTCTGGTACTTGGGTCAGATTTTGGAGATAGCTTAATGGGCAAGAGGAAGTTGCATTGTAAAAAGAAAAGAATGAAAAGAATTATTTGGCTTACACATGAATAAGGTAGGGGCCATGTATATAATAGATTCATGATACAATTTAGGAAACGATATAAATTAGGAAACAATACTAAATCAGTAATTGACACAATCACAGATTATATACATAATACCACAAATAAAAGGATTCAATGTACTCTAATTTTTATATTCAACACTTCTCCTCAAGCTAGTGTGAAGATATTCAACAATCGCAGCTTGTCAATAGATAACTTGAAGAAGCCGAAAAACACTCAACGGCTAGTTCAAATAAATGCTATCAAACAAATCTAGTGCTCCACTAAATAAAAAAGGCCAAAAAGTGCTTAATACATCAGCACCACACCCTAGAAAGGGG